GATAGCGGTGGTTGACCGGCGACCTCTTCCTTCCTCTTCTTCTACTTCGGCGCTGCAGCAGTTGTCGACAGAGAGGGAGAGACGTGGTTATGCGTTAATAGGTGTGGAGGCGTAAGGGATTTTTTTAGGCGTGTAGGCTTATATTTATACTTTTGGGGTTTTGGGCCCCATGTTAACTTAACGTACCTGGCCCAAACGCGCTTGCCCGGCCCAGGGGATTTAAATCTGAATCTGATCGCGCCATTGGGCTCGTTCCGTCGAACCCTACACAACAGTATAATTCTTAATATTTGGGGTTAGCTTCTTTAAATGAACCCTGGTTCCGTCTCAATAACTAATTAATAATAATTAATTAATTAATCCTGATAGGCCGGGTTTCGGGGTGTTACACACCAAGTGTTTTTAATGTTTTAAACATGTTTGAAAAACATTTTTATGATGTTTGAAATGCAATGAAAAGAATTTTAGCCTAAAGAGCCAAGGTGTAAAGGTTGGGTCGGTCTTGATCACAATTATGACCGACTCAACAACACTAAGACTACGGTCTTCGTTCTTGGTCTTCTTTTGGGTCTTGTTCTCTTGCTTTCTTCTTATATTTATTTCTCGCCTTGTATATTCAATAACTTGTCTCGTTCACGACGGTTTGGCATTATCAAAACCTGTCATAAAAACGAACACGGCTTTAGTACGAAAACACGATAAACCCGTGTTTCAACAGTTATGACTCTGCCAGATCTCCAAGCAGTCACGTATCTAAGCTCGCCGAAGAGAGGCTCGCCAAGGGCTCGATGGAGAGGACCGGGAGTGGCTCGCCGGAGTAAGGAGGTATTCACCAGAGGCCTGCCACTGTCTGTGGCTCGCCGTAGGAGGAGCTCACTACCGAGATCTGGTGATGCGACTTTCTGATTTGAGAAGAAAAGGAAATGGGCTCTCTCATCTTTCTTTTATTTTGACTTTTCTCACCCACCTCTCTCCGTCTCTCTCACTTTCTTTTTGTTCTCTCTCTTTTTCCCTTTAAATTTTTTTATCTTCTCTCTCATTTTTTTTCCTCATTACGGACTCGGAGCACAGCTTTTTGTGACCGGTCCCACGGTCGGAGCCAGTGATGGAAACCGCTTTTTCGGGGCGTCGACCCGATGAAATCGGTACCGGGTCGGCACCGCACCAAATAGCGAAATCCGGAAATTAAGTAAGTAAATAAAGCGGAGAGAAAGTATTTATACGTGGAAACCCAAATCGTGAGAAAACCACGGGCCTTTTTAGGCGGTGTCATGCCAAAGGGGGAGGAATTTTATTAATCTCGAGGGAATTTACATATACATCACTGTAGGAGCTTGGAGCCATTAATGGAGCTCCAAGCTAAGAGAAGGAGAAGAATGAAGAATAATACGGAGTAGTAAAACTAGTAGGAAATTGGCCTCCCTCCTCCCTCCTTCGTAGCCTGCATTTAAAGGGGAGAAGGAAATAATTGATGGAGACAAGAGGGGACATTGTCCTTGTGAAGCCCATGTGCGGCATGTGATTTCCATGTGATAGTGTTCCACGGGTCCCGCCAAATGTCTCCACATCACTTCAAATATATTCTTCTGTCCATATATCTCTGGTTCTGTCTTGAATAATTTATCTGATTTATATCTTGGGCAAGATAAAATTGGGTTTTCTTGTACTGTTCAAATAATATTGGATTAGGAAAAATGTAACACCCTAATCCGTCCAGGTCTGTAGCCCCTTCCGGACTAAAGTATTAACTTGGTAATCGTAAAGATTTAAAACTTTTCAAACACACTTTATTAATCCCAATAATTTTTCATAACATATACAGTACGGAGTATTCAACAATATTGCGGAAGCGAATTTAATTTTTACATATCATAAATCATTTCAAACTTGTCACATCCATCCCGACAATCTCGCCCCATTTGCCGCCAGGATCACATTGTGCTTTCTGCTTACCTGCGTGTAGCAAATAAAACACACTACACGCTCAGCGGTAAAGCTGAGTAAGCATATCTAATGCGTCCAACATCCATATAAACTGAATCTAAATTCATAATCAAATCATTTGATATCATGCACACAATGTTCATTTCAGACATTCACAGTTTTGGTATTATTCAGTTCATATCAACACATTTTATTCAATTTAGATATTAATCCAATAGTGCTCTTAAATTATTCTTAATCTAAGGCCAGATCATTACAACGCTCTTAGCTATTCTTAGTCTAAGGCCAGATCATAACAACGCTCTTAGCTATTCTTAGTCTAAGGCCAGATCATAATAATGCTCTTAACTATTCTTAGTCTAAGGCCAAATCATAATAATGCTCTTAGTTATTCTTAGTCTAAGGCCAAATCATAACTTCCATAACCAGATTCTTTTAAGGTAATTATTGATCAGACACTTAAACTATCATAAGTTTAAGGCAATTGATTTCGGACATTTAACTGTAGTCAGTTAAGGCAATCAGACACTTAAACTATCATTAGTTTAAGGCAAATGATTTCGGACACTTAACTGTAGTCAGTTAAGGCAACAACAATATAGCGATTGATCAACATTGGATCGGGCATTTCCAAACGAGTAATC